CCTCTTTCCTCTCATTTCAGGTACCTCTCAGGAGCCAAGCGAGCGCCAGTTAGGAATGACCAGATTGTGCTACATCACTTTCATTTTTTGGTAGCTTTAAACTTTCTATTCCATTCCTATAAGTAACAAAAAAATAACTCTTATGTATGACATTTATCTTTTTATAATGTCATAAATGTATAACATTAGAGAAGTGTTGAGCTTTTTCTTATATTTTTTGTGTTTTTATATGTTTTTAATTTTTATTATTTTAACAAAAATAATTCTTGTAGCCCTTGGCACAATGGTTGGGTTGCTCCATGGCAATTTAGGTGACGAGTATTCAAATCTTGGCAACAACCTCTCTGTGTATAAACAGAGAGAGGTAAGTCTGCATAGATCTATCCCTCCCAAACCCTTTATTGGTGGGAGCCTTTGTGTACGAGGCTTATGTTTTTATTATTTAATTATGACATCGTAGGTTGACCCAATTACCCAAACACTTGGGTCATCTACTCGTGCAAGTAGATTTTCACGTGAGAGCAACCCATTTCCTATTAATAAATATATATAGGATAATTAGATATATAATTATCTAATTATATAAATATTGTTAGATAATTAAATATATATTTATCTAATTATATAAATATATAATAGTTATTATAAATATTGTTAATAACTAGATATTGAACCGTTTGAACGATTTTGACTATTTTTGTTTTTATTTTTTTGTTAGAACGGGCTGACCGTTCAATTTGAACACTTGGACTGTTCGACCCGGTAATCGGACCCCTGATTGGTTTGGTCTCCGGGTCGGTTTTAAAATTATATAAATATTCTTAGATAATTAGATATATATAAATATCTAATTATATAAATATATAATATTTATTACAAATTATGTTAATAACTAGATATCAAACCGTTCGAACCGTTTGAATGGTTTTGACCATTTTTTAATTTTTTTGTTAGAACAGGCCAATTGTTCGATTCGAACTGTTGGACCGTTCGACCCGATAACCGAACCCCTAACCAGTTTGGTCTCTAAGTCGGTTTTAAAAACCATGATGTTATGTCATTCGAGCATGTGACTCATACGACCCGAAAATGGAACCGCTCTGACCATCGGTTTTCAGGTTGACAGTTCGACCGTCTGGTTCGAACGGACGATCTGTTCAAACAACAAAAGTTAAAACAAATAAAAAAACAGCCAAAACTATTGAACGGGTCAACGGGTTGATGATTTGACCACTTGGGTCAATGGGTCGTTGATCGATTCAACAGTTTTTGGCAGGGACCGGGATTGGGGTAAAACAGAATTGGTTGCCTGGACGGTTCCCAATTAAAAAATACAAAAAAATGGATGACTTGTTCTGACAACAAAAATTACAAGCAAAAAATTGAGTGTGTGAAGTCCATTAAGCAGTACCATACGTGTTATGGCATTCGAGCGTGTGACTAATATAGCATGAAAATGGAATCGTTCTGGCCACCGGTTTTTGGGTTGATAGTTCGACTGTCTGGTTTGAATGGATGGTCCGTTCTAACAACAAAAATTTAAAAAATAAAAAAATGACTAAAAACCATTGAACGGGTCAATGGTTTGATCGCCTGAGTCAATAGGTCGTTGATCAATTCAACAATTTTTGGCCAGGGACTGAGATTAGGATAAAATAGAACTGGTTACCTGAATGGTTCCCAATTAAAAAAATAAAAAACAGCCAAAAATCATTGAACGGGTCAATGGGTTGATGGTTCGATTGCTCGAGTCAATAAATCATTGACTGATTCAACGATTTTGACCAGGGACCAGATCAACGGGTTGATGGTTGCATTCCAGCCCGGCGAAGCAGGGCCCCTCGCTAGTTATTTTCTTATTGTAATTGGTAAATATTTATTCATTAAAATATAAGCGATAAATCATTCAGGTCAGCCACTTCAATCACCTCTCCTATTTCATATTTTCTTACTTTTCCTTGACGCATTAACCCCTAAACACTTTAGCTCCTTATGCTTACACATTTAATCATATGATCCCTTTCCTTACCATCTTACCATCTTGAAAGGAACATGTGTCATGTCGGTATTTACCTTGCTTGATTGGATGATTTATTGTATATATGTCTATGTATTGTCTGCACACTCTTGCATGAGTATCGTATTATGCAGCGTTGCAAGTCAGGTTGCTTGAGTAGAATTTTAACCACATATAGCTCATCAAATTAGGGTTTAGGCCCCATTGAAAATTGACAAGTTTCCAATTCATCCCAACCCAGAATGGCACCCCTAGCATTATGTATTTATTTTTGTGTTTGTGTAAATTTGGTAGGTAGATTTCAAATTCCATCCACTCCAATTCCAAGGTTGGATTGGATTAAGGCCAAGAACCTACAGTGGAGGATTAGAGAGGGTGTTCAGTACCGTAACTAAAAAGCTCATTCTAGTCAGTTTCAAAAACATAACAGGAAGACCATGCCAAGGTTTAAACCTACAACTTTTCCTGCTATTGTCATTGAAACTTCCTTGATGCACATCCACAATCAGAAAATTTTCTCTACAAGAAGCAAAACATGTATTTGTATACATAGAGATAAACAACTCATTTATATGGGCCCCTGAAATGGCCGTATGAAACAATGGTCAATTACATGCAAAAGAGAATCCCAGCATCAGCTGTGGCAGATGAATCTCTAACGTCATTGTTACCCAACATTAGTTGTATCAATCATCGTAAGAAGAGTGAGGAGAAGCAGTGCATCCAGGATCAAAGAGATCTTCAGAACCACAACAATGCCAGTACTGGAAAACTTTGCCGGAGTCGGGGGTGTCCAGTTTAGACACTTTCAAACTTTCTCTTTGTTTCTCCTGAGGATGTAGAGCAGTGAAAAGAAATTGGAGATCAAAACCCAATTTGACCTATCTTCACAAGTACGGCAAATAACAGGAGCATAGGAATGATATTATCAGCATGTCTGTGACTATAAGAGAAAATGAAGACAAATGCAAGCAAACACATGCCCAAACAGAAAAGAAAGAAAAGAAATTGGATGCTCAAAAGTGGCCAGACTTTTGTTGAACAGTGATATAATTATTGTGCTAAAAACTTTTGGGGAATCATGAAACCCAAACAACCATGGTAAAAAAGATATAATGATTACAGAAAGAATCTTCTGACTTAGTTCGGTATTGATGAGATCTCACATGGTGTTTCAATCCAGTTTTAAAGAAGAAACTTTCAAGGCTGGTGGTTTTGCTGACAAAGAACCCAAAAGTGAAACAATATACACCCACTACCATCAATAATTTGTTCATCCAATAATGCTCTAGCAATGTTCAACATAGGGAATCATGACTGTAGGAAGAATCTTTTGACCTAGTTCAATATGATTCGATTTCATATAATGTTTCAATCAATCTTTTCAGAGAAGACTGCTTCAATGCTGGTGGTTTTGCTTACCAAAAACCCAAAGACAAAACAATCCCTTAATACACCCCACTGCCATTGAGAACTTATCCATCCAATCATGCTCTAGAAGTGTTCAGCACAGGGAACCATGAATTTAGAAATGACCATGGCTCCCAACAAAAGATAATAAGAGTTGGGATCTATCCTAGCCAAGCAGCAACCACCTTAAACAAATAAAACCCACTCATGGAGTAATTGTCAAGAAGGATTTGATACTTGAAATTAGTTTTTAAGATAAGTCCATGGACAAAACTTGCCAAGGGTAGCTTTAGTTCAGAGTGGATGCTTGAGCAAGTGTAATTACCAGGCAGGATTTGACGCATCACATTTTTTCTGAACAATTCCAAGACCTCTTGTAATCACATATGTGAGCACAGGCAACAAAGAATGGTTTCCAATATAATATCACATTGTTCTGGGTAATGATAGGATTAATGCTAATGGCAAGGATCAAGGCACCAGAAATAAGACAATTGATGGCATAGGAAGCAATAAGTGAACTCCAGACATACTGATTTTGAAGGTAACCTAATCACATTACCAAAAAGTAGAACTGATGCAACTCTGAAATTGAGGCCATCTTAAGAACAACTAAAAATGAACACTCACTAGGCTGGAAACCTAAATGCAGCATTTTCTTCGGTAGATTAACTACAATACAATACCAATCATGTCAGTAACCTGAGATCAAAGCATTTCAAGACACTGCATTTTCTTATAAATCTCATCAAAGAAAAGATGGGCCTCTTCCAAGGCATTACAGTTTGTATAGAAATATTGTTTCGTGGACTCTTCTAAATGGATGAAGTATACATGCCAGACATGCATGGGCTCAACACTCCATGGGGTTCTTAAGAGATACTTATATGTGACATTTTTCTTTCTCTTATTGTTTTATTTGACATAAATGAACAGTTTAATTTACACATTGAATGCTACTTTTCCTGCAAAATGTTATTAAGTAATAATTATAAACTTTAAACACATACTACAGGTTTGTAACATTAAAATTCAACATAGTATGGAGTATCTTAATATTATATACTTGTTTATAGATGTGCCCGTGAGTCCTTGATTTTTTGTCTTGCCAAGTCAGATTCCCAGAAATGTCTAGATTCCAATTCTCATGCCAGTGTCCATTCAACAGTGCATATGAAATCAACCAATGCAGTACTAATGAAAATGTCACATCTGACATTGTTCTTGATGGTTTAATGTACTTACTGTAAATTAAGATATGTAAGTTGCTATAGGAATTAATAACACTTCTAAACGTGATTTGGCTGGGCAAGAATCCTTCCAAAACCATTGTCAAGATAAGTTGCAAAGTTTCTCTGACCTTTTATGCCAAGCCAATGCCCTAGTAGTTACTTTCCACCAAACCACATGAAAAGGCATATCCTCGGACATTTTCTCACAAAGGCATGTATAAAAACACCACATACATAATTACATACAAGGGTTAGCAACCTAAGAGTAAGACAGTGTGCCAGGTTTAAATATATGTTCTCCAGCTTCTAGGTCAGGCATCCATTGAAACCCAGACAAAACATCAATAAATGAATATTCTGATTTATAAATTCTCAGTAATTCGCAAAACAAAATCATTGAATATTCTGCATACCCGCATTGACTGAGTGCAGATACTAAGCAATTCTAAGTTAATACAATGCATTTCTTGGAACAATTTAAATACTTCGTTTGAGTTTCCATGCTTCCCAAATAGACCCAACAATGCCATCCCAAGGGAAGTGTCAGCACAAATTAATCCAGCCAATAAAATTAGTAGCTGCAACTGTAATCCCTAGTGAGGATTCAATTCAATGTAGACAAGGACAAGAGACTGCCATATGTATATTGAGCTGCCCCCAAGCTTCCATTCCAACGTCATTCCTGATGTAAGCAGCAATGATTAAATTACATGACATAGCATTACTTTCATTCATTTTATCAAAGATCTCTTCTGCAGCTATTAATTCATCAAGCAATGCATGCAAAGAAATGGAATGGTGAGTGCATGGACAAACACTATTAATTCATAAAGGGTTTCGATCTTGAGAATGCTCTGAAACAGTTATGGGAGGTGATGCTGTTGAAATACTTCAGGGGGAAAGAGGAAAGAAATTTGACATGAGAATAAGTCCAAGTGAAGTTGGAAAAGAATTGGGGGAAAAGAGGGAGCGTGTTATGGAACCTTGGCTAGTACAGAAACAATTCCATCAACGAAGGCGGCAACTCTGTGGGGAACTCCAAGCGACAAGAGGACTAGAACTTGATATACGTGCAAAAAAAAAAAAAAAAAAAAAAAAAAACAAAAACACATGGAAGCGTATAACGCACTCATGGTAACTAGTTTACAATTTTCTTCTTCAGGAAATATGAAACTCGAAATGTTGAAATTAAATGATACTCATAACTTCGAACATCAGAACCATAAACAACAATGCAATTCTTGCAGGTGTGGAATCGGAAGGAGTTCTAGGTGAATGCATACCACCAAAATGAGCGGTGTGGAATCGACAGGATCGGGGGGACTGACCAACGGGTCGAACTGGGATTTGCAATTCTTGCAGGTCCTTAAAGTTCGGTTAGTTTTTCCAGAGCATCCAATGAAAGCTTCTCCCGTTGAAAATTTCATCGCCTCATCCCATGTCCTTGTTCCTTGAAAACGATTAATTCGAAGAACAGTTGGTACGGCGGTTAATCGACGAGGGAAGAAGGAGACACGATGAAATCTGTGATGAATTCATAGGGGTCTCGCTCGCCGTTTCCCGCTAAAAAAACTAGGGCTTTTTTTTGGGAGAAACCATCTGATTCTGGACAATACAAGACATAAACAGTGATAAATAACGGATTAAGGGCTACCATCCTAACGTGCGACTCCGGATCCGCTAGTCTGCTACAAATAATACGTACAACAGACTGCGGAAATGTTTCAACCGTCCAATTGGTGGGGACATCTACTTTATCTGTGCCAGATCTTATTGTTAGTGATCCAGGCAATAGGACTAGTGGCCCACTTGATGATCGCCAAAACTAGCGGATGACCAAATGATCAGACGGCTGGGATGGTTCGGATGGCATGTAAAGATCTAGAATTCCGACCTTAGTATACGCATGAGCGTCTACCCGCAAGAGATCCCGCCGAGTCGCCACTCGCCACTCGCCACTCGCCACTCGCCGTGCGTTCGACTTCTTCTCTGGTTGACATATTGGATGTTGTCACTTGATTGAGAAAAAACACCCACTGGCGCATAATAGCTAGACCTCGTATTATCTTTATCCAACCTCAACGGCTCAACCTGGGGGCATTGAGTTCGTCCCTGGCCCCTGGCTCTCTGAAACTCTTTGCCTCTCTCGTTTTCAAAACCCTGGATTTCTAGGGTTTATTTGTCTGTCTGGCATCACCATGAATCGATAACTCTTGGGCTTCGCCCAAGAAAATGGCGAACATTAACAACAAAGACGAACCAAGCAATGCTCCTCAGCCAGATCGGTGGTATAACCTGACCCTAGGTTCATCTTTTAGAGATCATTCATCTACCAAGTTCTGCACTTTACGATGTAAGTGATTCATAGAAACGCTAAAAATTGAACCTTTACAGATTACCAGGAAAAAAAATTACCGTATTGTAATTCCAAATGAGTTTCTTCATTTATCCCGATGTTATTACAATATGCCGGATGACAATTCCTCTATTTCTGTTCTTTAAATGATCCAGATGATTTTAAGCCGGCATCAATCGATAAGACTCAGCCTGGATCACTCCACAAGAACAAGGAAAATAGAGTCACTGTAGAATTTCATAACAATCAACCTGGAAAACCCAAAGTGACCTTTGAGGGCAGCAGCGAGGTTTGCAAGGACAACGATGGAGTACTGTTCTTTGACGGCGAGACATTCCGATTAGAGAGGCTGCACCGGGCAGTGAAGCGGTTGAGGTATCTACGACAACCCGGAGAGTCTGCAGCTGCTGTGTCCGCAGCCGCTTCAGTAGGACCATCCGTGGAATCTCGTTCTCCGCCGCTTGGAAAGTCGACAAAATCACAGCCTATGAATAAAAATATAGCTCCCCCGGTACAGGTGAATAATGGATCTTAAGAACCTTTTTCCTTTTGGTTTTGCTTTTGAAATTTTATCTATTGAAACAAAAAATTTAGGATCGTTTACAAATTCTGAAGTGTTTACAGATGTCATTTAAATTTAAGAATTGGGATTAGATTGAGTTCAGTACCGTTGTCTATTTTAGTTGCAAAGTTACTTTCGAGTGGAAAACATATTTAAGTAAAAACCTGAGGAATGGTTTTATTGCATTTGTTTAACATTTTCTCAACTGGCAGAACATCCCAAAGTCTTGCAGCAGAGTACCTTCTGTTCTGTTGAAAGTGCTTCTAGTCTAGATCAACCAAAAAGAAAAAAAAAAAAAAAACTATGCTAGATTAAGTAAAAAGCATATTGCTGCTTACCGTTATTTTATATTATTATCTGTATCAATTCCCTCACCCCCTTCCAAACTCTGTGAATACTTTCATGAACAACAGATAGAATGAACTTTTACTTGTGTTTTACCTTAGTTCATTTTTATATAATTGTTTTTGGGCTTGGTATCCCTCGGAACAAAGGAGCTGAATTAGTTTAAAGCACAGAAGTGGGAGATAAACACTATGCATGTTCATACTAAGCATGGAGTTTCAATTTACAAATGAAGACATTACTTTGTGAGGTGGTAAATCCAATTGATTACTGTTAAAGGGGGATTTTAAAAATAAAAAACATTGATACCAATCATGTGAAGAGTGATCAAGCCAAGTGCATGCTAAAAATAAGGTTTTGATTTTAAAATGACCTCTTTCCTATTTGAGTTACTAATTGGTAATTTAGAACAAAACAGTCAACATCGATAATGAGCAAAATGATAAGGCTGAAGGCCAAAATTGCATATACTTTTGTTTCAGCAATGACTTTGCATGTTCCTTTTTGCCAGTACTCAATAACAGATATGGTGTCATTCTCAGTGGCTATCCTGTTGGACCAAGCTTATTCTTTCCCAAACATGCAATTATAGAGGGCATAACTTCATCTTGTTCTTAGTGGGCACTAGCAATGGTGCCTCTTGTATCCTTATCTACACTGTTCCAATCCATAATAGATATTTCTACATGTTACTTTGTAACTATTTTTAGGGTTGACCCTTTTTCAATGTCCTATGCATGTAGCCATGTACCAATTACAGGTACCTGAATATTTGCTGCATGCACTTCATGAAAAGACAAGCTCTAAATATAATTTTCACTATAGACCATTGCCAGTGAAAATTACTTTATCTCTCATCCCACCATCCAAAAAAAAAAAATGGAAAAAGGAGAAGAATAAAAAATAGGTTTGTAGAACTTCTTAACGTATTAATTATCAAAAAAAAAAAGAACTTCTTAACGTATTAATGCTTTCCTGATGGACCATGGCAATTATTTTTTCCCCAACATACCCTTTCTTATGTCATACTTTCATCTCATACAATACTTTCAAGGAAATTCAGTGGTGCTTCTAGGATCCATTTCCACATAGAAGTGGCCTTTGATAGATACTAATTCATGCAACTTTTGAGGTCCTTGCCAGCTTTCTTATGCATTTACCATTTACTGGTATCCTGGTTATCTGCTATATGTGGTCCATAGATGACAGCTTCTCAGTTGCTATATTTTCATTATGACCATCAAAACATAAGCCAGAATAAGCTTGATTTGGTGTTTGATTTTCCCAAAAGACTGTAAAGAAGCATAGAAATTCTTGTATATTAATCCATTCTCGTGTTTAAGTCTTACTATGATGTTTCTCTACTTGTTATTAACTTATTTCTAGGTTTTTATGTGTTTGTGTATTTATTTATATATATTTGAAGAAGTTTATCTATATTCTCACCTCATGTAGCTTTATTAACATGTGACCCGAGTATGCAGAAGTCAATGTTATGACTTGTAGCATTCTTATTTTGTAATGTGGTATCTGTACACATCTTAGCATGTACTAGTGCCCAGAAAAGGGAAAAGAGAAAGCATAGAAGCTGCCATTAAACATAAAAACCTAGATTTTGTTTTTTGTTACTCCCATAGGTGCTTGCTTAATTGTATATTTACAGCATGTGATGCATGGATAACCCAAACACTTGTTTTGAGATTTTACTAATTTGCTTGATCTTGGAATTAGGAATTTAGAAATGCCTGCTAATCTTGTTGATGGTCAAACAGTGCATATCTATTTATTTATCAAAAAAAAAAAAAAACAAAAACAGTGCATATCTATTTTGTTTGTTAGATGCCATGATCTCATCTTAGTATTTTTTATCAGTATCTTATGTCTGTATTTGTTGTAAAATACATCTCCTGAGTCCCGGTTTGTGCACTGATAATTAGAAATTCTTTTGTTGTGCCATGATGATACAGGTTGAGGTGGAACGAATTGACATTGGTGACTCAGAGAGCCCAGGTTTGTCTTCTATTGCTGATATGCTTCTTTATTGACATTTTTTATTCAGTAAACAAGTTTTTTTTTATCAATAACAGAAACTTTATTAAGATTTATGAAGCTTTAAGTACAATAAGGGGGAGATAAAGAGTCTTATCTCCCCATCAGCAAATTACAATGAAAGGAGATTAAAAATTAGCCCAAAAAATAGCCTCCCTATTCACCCCTTGCTTGGCCAACCCATCTGCAAAAGAATTAGCAGTCCTTTTCACCCAGCTGTATTGTATCTCAATGCCCCTACATAGCCATAATTTTTTTTTCTTTTATTCAGTAAACAAGTTCTTTTTCCATTTTGTCTTTTATGCTCATCTGGCTTTATGACATTTCTGATCTAACCAATAAGTTGATTGGGTAAGGTTTATATTGTAGAATATAACATTATTACATCCTCTTTTCAATTATAAAAAAAAATCCTCTTCTTTAAGGGTTTACATTTTTCTTTTAATTGCAAATGGTGAATTTAAGGGTTGACACTTTTTTTTAATTGCAAACAGTGACTTTAAGGGTTGACACTTACGAAGCAAAATTGAAAAGATGAACAGATTCAACAGAATATACTATTCAAATTGCTGTCAAAGAAACCTCTGATGTAGGATACCTTGAGGATGATAAAATCCCTCAAAAATGTAATAATGAAAAAATAGAGAATTGCTGGCTTTGTATTCTCTTGGCCTGCTAGCTAGGTTTTTTGGATACTATGGAGTTTCTTAATAAAACCAACTCGGTGGCTAAAACCCTTCCTAGAGTTACATCTGATCACTGCCCTATACTATTAGGTCAAGATGTTCTAGGCTTTGGCCCTCGACCTTTTAGGTTTGAGAACATGTGGCTAACCCATCCGGATTTTGAACGAAGGGTTGGGGAGTGATGGAATGAAGATTTGAGAGGGGTTAAGTGGAAAGGTGTAAGGTTCCACAAAAAGTTAAAGAGACTAAGAGCAAGGATTAAAGAGTGGAATCGGGAGCGTTTTGGAAGGGTAGAAGATCAAAAGAATTCTTTGATGTCTAGGATTGATGAACTAGACTCCAAAGAATCCCAAGGAGGTATGAATGAGCAAAAAAGGTTGTTGAGAGGTAGGTTAAAAAAGGAACTGGAAGAAGTTCTCCTTAGAGAAGAGATCTCATGGAGGCAAAATTCAAGACACAAATGGATCAAAGAAGGGGACGGTAATACAAAATTTTTCCATGCGTTGGCTAATGGGAGGAGAAGAAAAAAATATGTGGCCAAATTAGAAGTGGATGGGGAGGAAGTCACAAATCAAGATGAGATAGCAAAAGTGTTGGTGGATCATTTTAAATCAATTGCAGGGAAGCCTCTGAATAATAGACTAAGGTTGGAAGGTCTAGATTGGCCTAGGCTGTATGAAGAGCAAGCAAGATGGTTAGAGAGGATTTTTGAAGAAGAAGAAATTAGGCATGCAGTGTTTTCAATGGATAGATCCAAAGCCCCTGGACCAGATGGCTTCACCATGGCTTTCTATCAAGATTGTTGGAATGTGGTAAGAGAAGACCTTTGTGTTGTGTTTAAGGAATTTGAAGTTAATAGCAAAGTAAGCCCTAGAGTTAATGCCACTTTCATAGCTCTAATCCCTAAGAAAAAAGAAGCAAAAACCCCTAAAGATTTTAGGCCAATTAGTTTGGTAACTAGCATTTACAAAATCCTGGCTAAAGTGTTATCATTGAGGATTAAAGTGCTACCCTCCATCATAGTCAAGCACAAGGAGCTTTCATGCAAGGGAGACAAATAACCGATCGGATTCTAATAGCGAATGAATGTGTGAAGGATATGAGAAAGTCCAGAAAGCAAGGGTTTGTTTGTAAGCTGGATTTAGAAAGGGCCTATGATCTAGTGGATTGGAGCTTCTTATTAGAAATCCTAGGGTGTTGTGGGTTTGGAGTCAGATGGTGTAATTGGATAAAGGGATGCATAAGTTCTTGCCATTTTTTCGGTTTTGGTTAATGGGGTAGTCAAGGATTTTTTCCCAACTCTTAGAGGTTTAAGGCAAGGTGACCCCCTTTCTCCTTTTCTTTTTACCCTAGTTGCAGATGTTTTTAGTAGCTTGATCTCTAAGGCAAACAGGGAAGGTGTAGTGAGAGGTTGGAGGATAGGAAGGAACGGGATTAGGGTGACCCACTTACAGTTTGCTGATGACCTAATAATCTTTTGTGAAGGGGGTGATAGGAGAACAGTAAGTAATCTCAAGTCTTTGATAGAGTGCTTTAAGAGATTATCAAATCTGAAAATGAATTTGGAAAAGAGCTGTGTGGTGGGAGTGAATCTGGATGAGAGAACCCTTGAGTTGGTGGCTGAGTCTTTAGGTTGTCCTATTTCCTATTGGCCTTTACAGTATTTAGGTATTCCTCTTGGAGCCAACCCTAAGGAGAGCACATCTTGGGCCCCAGTTTTAGAAAAGTTTGAGAAAAAGTTAGTCTCGTGGAAAAGGAACTATATTTCTTCAGTTACCTTACTGAGGGCTTCCTTGGCAAATCTGTCAATTTATTATTTCTCTGTGTTTAGGATTCCGGTCAGGGAAGCCAAGCAACTAGAGAAATTAATGAGAAATTTTCTTTGGGAGCCAGGGGAGGAAAAAAAGGATCACTTAATAAATTGGGGAATAGTGTGTAGGAGGAAAGAGGAGGGTGGATTGGGACTGGGGAATTTAGTTTTGAAGAATAAAGCACTCCTAGGAAAATCTTTGTGGAGATGGTCCTTAGAACAAGAGAACTATGGCATGAGGTGATAGCTAGCATACATGGCAGTTTGGGCAATGGATGGGATGCTGGTGTATCGCGTCGAGCCACTCTGGCAACTCCTTGGAAAGCAATCAGAATATTCTTCCTCTTTTCCTCAACTGTATCAGGTATGATGTCAATTCTGGTACTTCTGTTTTGTTCTGGGAAGACATCTGGGTGGGCAATTCTGCCCTTAAGGACAGTTTCCCTTCTTTCTATTCCATTTCTTGCTACAAGGGTAAAACAATTTCTCATTTTCTTCCAACATCTAATTCTCCATCTTCCTTAAGTTGGGACTTTGGGTTTCGTAGGTGTTTGAGGGATCATGAACTCTCTTGTGTTTCAGACATGTTGTCACTGCTTGGAAGTGTTTTTCTGGACCTTTCTAGTTCTGGTGTGAGACTTTGGTCTCCAAACCCAAAAGGTTACTTCACATGTGCTTCCTTTTTTAAGTCCCTTTGCTCTCCCTCGGGACAAGTGGTCTTCCCAGCTAAGGAGATTTGGTCTAAACCTGTACCTCCTAAAATTATTATGTTCTGTTGGGAGGTTTTCTATACTACAGAAGAGATGGCCTTCTATGTGTTTGTTTCCTAATTGGTGTGTACTTTGCAGGGCTAATGGTGAGGATTGCTCTTACTTACTTTTAACCTGTCCTTTTTATATTGCTATTTGGGGTTGGATCTTTGCTTTGTTTGGTTGCAGATGGAATATGACCACAGCCATAGATCAGATCTTTGATCCTTCCTTCTTTGTGTGGCCCACAAAAACCGGTAAAAGAATGTGGAGGAGCATTAGAGCTGCTGCTCCGTGGACAATTTGGGAAGAAAGAAATGCAAGGATATTCCAAGAGAAGGAGATAAATGCTCAGAATGTAAAGGATTGTATTTTGACCAGGGCAATCCACTGGCTGAGATCACTAGATTCCTTCGAATTATATTCCTTTGATGACATGTGGAGGAACTGGAGGGCTGTGGCTAGTAGTAGTAACAGAAAGAACAGGGTACCAGATGTTTGGGTACCCCCTTCAGAAGACTGGACAAAGCTGAATTTTGATGGTAGCAGCCAAGGAAATCTGGGGCCTTCAGGGATTGGTGGGGTGCTGAGAGATAAAGATAGTAACATTTTAGCTTTGTTCTCAGGCTCTGTGGGTATAGGAGACTCTATCAAAGCTGAGCTCCTAGCGGCAGTACAAGGCATTCAGGTTGCGGATCAGTTAGGCGTTCAAAATTTGATTATTGAAGGAGACTCCATAGTTGTTGTGGGTTGGCTAAAAAATCCAGATTCAGTGATCTGGTGCTACAGGGGTATTATGAGGAAAGCTAAATGGTTCTCAAGGAACATGAATGTTATTTTTCAGTGGGTGGGTAGAACAGCTAACACCATAGCAGATGGGTTAGCTAAACAAGGGGTATCAAGGGAACAGTTATTCTGGGCAGCTTTGTAAATTTTTTTGTTACTAGTCTGAGGTAGTACATTGTTGCTATTGTGGGGAGGTACCAGCTCGTGCCCCTCCTTTGGAAAGGCTGTATTGTAATATCTTATTGATTTTATTGAATAAAATTCAATCATTTATCAAAAAAAACCAACATGGTTACTTATCCAAATAAATAAATAATTAGGAAAAGATAGAAAAATAAGATAGAGGCGTCACACCTCTTTTCCTTAATCAAGTAGCATGCACAGTAGTTTTCTATCATGATGTTATAGCAGTTGTTTTCTTGCTAGATAAGTGGGGCGTTTATATGCTTCACTTTAGTTACAGTAGTTGGTAGGATCTCTGACTCGTTGTAGCAGATAACTGGGATCAAACCCCTCTGCCACCAGGGTTGGGGGGTTAAGGGAGTGGGGGATGGGCTACCCCCCAGGTTGTGTAGCTCCATGAAGACGAAAAAAAAAGCATATAAAGAAGTCAGTCAACCTTGACTGCTGTAGCATATGAAACTAAACAGGTGGGCCAAGCAGGATGGACTGACTGCACAGTGGCAGAAGCAGTGATTAGTAAGGTGGCCCTCCAGGGAACCAAATGGAAGTGTGCTTTGAGAGTCAAACCTGATTACCCAATACTGCTTAACAAAAGAACAAACAAGAATAAAGTTACCCTTTTCTACATTGCTAAGTGGTAAATTACATTCCTTCTCAATAGGGGCCATTGCTTGGTGTACTGGTAAAATCTCTGGCTGAAAAACATGAGAATTCAGGTTCAAGTTTGAAAGGGTGTCACTTTGGGCA